GACGCAACTTGTTATCATCATGCAGACGTGGATACAATGCAACAAAGGCCTCTCGAGAAGAAGAACAAGCAAAAGAGAAGCAAAGCGTCTGATTTCCACATATCATTTTAACCATCTTCTCCCAAGGGAGGAGGAGGAGGAGGAGGAATATTATTACGGAGCTAGATCATCTCCATATACGCGTCGTCCAAGATGTGAGGAAAGAAGGAGAGGTGCGTGTGTGGATTATGTGGATTTCGACGTGCTTACTCGATAAGGGGCAGTAAATAAATATGTAGTATGAGAAATGCATAATTGCTGCTGACCAGTGGAGTCTGGTGATATTGTGAGTGAAATAAAATGCTATCTTTCTGTTCTGACAGGAGCAGCTGCAGATTAGCACAAAGTATTGATCAAGTTTCTACTCACTTTTTATGCACACATGCACGTCCACAGATTTGCCTAAATCATTCCACTCGTTACCTTTTAACAATGGAATTTTGATGATTTCTACACAAAAATAAATAAACTGCCTTCGCCTTCAAGCCCTGAGTCTGAGTCTAACTAAGTGGACGTCACAATGCAAACTGTTCCATTTGTTATTTATTTAAAAGGTTTAATCTTGATTCAGAGATTTTTCTTCCTTCTCAAAGTGACAAAAAAGTTTTCTTTGTGTAATGAGTGGAAAAGCTCTAATCCATCACCTTGGCTCCTATGTTGGCCATTTACACTTTTATTTCACCTCCACTTAATCTCCTGCCTTAATCTTGGGACTGTCAATAGCAAAGCCCAGCAAACCAGCCAAGGAAGAAGTCCACATGTAGGAAGGAAGAAGAAGCCAAAGGAAGGAATAAAAGTGGTATAAACTTGGCTACTTTTTTTATTTAACGCCGTCACATTTTATTCCATAAATCTTATTCACTCACTCACTTGCGCTTTTCTGGTAAGCATTCAACAAGTGATCAAGTGGAAAACGCTCAAGTGCTCCACGAGATGGTTTAAAAGTTGTCTCTATTGCTTGCACAAAATGATCGTAAAAATATACAGGCATTTTACTACTACAACAATTCGAAGGGTTGGGGCTATTTATTCCTTCAATAAAATTGACCTGTAAACTACGATTCTTCATTTCATGACACCGCACCAGAATTTTTGATCATATTTTTTTTTAGAAATTGTTTATGTGCACTCGTCCAAATTTTCAGAAAAGATCAATCTCAAGAAAGTGTGAATTGTTTATTTCTTATTTCCACGAAGGCTTCGTTCCCATAACTTGTCTCGCTTTTTTTTCGAGAGAGTGAGAGAGCGTTCCTGTACATATTTACCCTCGTCAACTTTCATCAGACAGAAAACCACCCAAACGTCTGCGCACCTCTTACGTAACATGCTATTAACAACCTTCTCTCCACCATTTATCCGGTTCATCAACACCCCCCAGCCCACAAAACAGACAGGATCATGTTGGAAAAGTTGAAACAAAGAAACAATAAGTTACCAGAGTTAAATTACTACATGCATGCATCATCATCTAAATGGCCAGGCAGCAAAGGAGAGGATAATGGATTTTATTTTGTTGTGGTTCGTGGGTACTTGGTAGTAGACACCTCATTTTATTCTCTCCCCGGCTACAAAAACAGGTCTCACTCACTACATTGTTATCTTAAGTACCCAGCCCTGCAAAGTTTGCCTGCATACTTACATGTGTACACTCATTGTAAGAACAAAACAAAGTGTATGAAACGGATGGCTGCCTAATAATCAAGGGATAACACCCAAGAAACAGTGTGAAATTTTACTTTCAACCTTGTTTAATAACCATAATTTGATTTTCTCGTATTTTATTAGATCCCACTTTTATTATTTCTCACTCGTCGTCCTCCTCCTCGTCATGACGTGATGCTGCACACAACAAAGCACCAAAAACATGGCACGTATAACCCTTTTATCATTAAAATGGACCAAGTTCACAGCTTGGTGTGATGTGATCACGGGGAAATGGAACACAAAGATTTGACGGATCTAGTCTCGTTTTCCAAAAATCTTCTTCCTCCCAGTTTTTTTGTGTCGTGTAGTTTGGGCTTGTTTTCATTTCACGGGTTCTTAAAACCCACTTAATCAAATTGCTCGAGAAACTGGTGGGGGAGAAATAAGAGTATGGAAAAGTTTGTATGTCTTTGGTAATAAAGTCAAAAAGAGCTTTGCATACTTTGGTCATAATTCTTGTTCCATTCTGTGCAGCATTTTAATTTTGGGTGCTTCATGCTCTGTCAGTTTTGAATAATATTAGAGCCCTAAGACTTTTATTTTCAAGGGGTTATGCACTCTTTGAAGGGACGGAGTGAAAGAAAAAGTTAGTTTTCTTGTTCTACACAAACACACATGTGCGCCACGAAATTGGACCACTTAAGAATGGAGTGAGGGATTTGGATTAAATTTAAATAGGGAAATTAATGGATATCTGCGTTTAATGCTTTCGTGATGGACGAAATGAGACGAGGAAATAAAATCGGGCCGAATATATAACAAGGAGAAGCTAATCTTAAGCTAGGCAAAAAAAGTCGCATCCTCTCCGATGTGTGCTTCTGTTCTCAAACTGTCACATCATAAATCCAATTTACTTTCGTTCGTTAGTTCTCTACATAATTGTAAAATACAGTAACGTGCGAATTTTCCCACCGATTCGGTACACTTCTTGGGCTGCACCGTGACTTGTAAACTTTTAACTTGGCTTTTTAGTCGCAAGAAAATGATAAATTTTATTTTTACGATCGGAACGCTCTTCCACATAGATCTTCCCACTACCATTTTATTCAAAACGCGTAGAAAGCAAGGAGGAGGAGGAGGAGAGGAGTCATAATAAAAGGAAAATTAGTAGTTGGAGACAAGTTCAACCGAGTTCACGTCACACAATCATTCAAAACCATATTTGTTAGCAAAGTTGATCACAATTTAGATGGTGACGACGACGACGACGACGCCAAGAGGAAGATGCAGTTGTCACATTGATGGACGGATTCGGAACATTAATTTTTAGTATTATTCATGCTTTCGGTATTATTTCGAAGTCGAGGAGATGATTACGAGGTTGACACGAGTAGGTTGAAACGAATAAAAAACATTTTTTCATATTGTAGGATTGACTGAAAAATGAATGATTTGCCGAAATTTGATAAACATCGAGTGAGGAGATTGTGTTCCTAGATTGAAATTTATTAATTCGTGTATTTCTCTTAATATTCAGCACCCTGCCGACTCCTGACACAAAACTCAAATAAGAAATGATAATCGCTTTTGTATATTCTGCTGCTGCTCCAATAAGCAAAAAAAGAATTGTTGCGAGTCCTTTATCTTTGCAGTTTGGTTGTCTGCCTATCAGAGATTTATAATTTATATCATTCACGTTGCATATATTCGATGGTTCAAAAAAAAATTAATAGATTTGAATATTTAAAAGTCGAGTGGTGGAGTACTGAGAAGAATCTTTGAAATTGGGCCAGCCAGGTCACCTGAGATATATTTTACGTGCTCGACATCGTTTGTAAAAATAATAGCATCGCGTCGTCGAATCGCCCTACTACGAAAGGTATGCAGCCTAATGAAAGAATCGTGCGAGATTCATCAAGCCTCAAAATCTTTACAAATTGATCAATTCAATTCTAAAATACTTTTGACATTCCTTCCTCGCTCTCGCAGCTGTTGAAATGGATATGAACTGAACTGAGCTAAATGGTGGACAAATTGATTGATTAATTTGTAAAATCTGCTGGTCTGCAAGTTATTAGAATTTGAAATTGCTCAACAGCTCCACATGTGCAGAACAAAGAATCACTGCAACCAGCCAGCACCTGTCTGCCAAAAACAAAGAGCACGAGCAGGCAACAAGGCAATAATAGAATTGGAAAGAGATAAAATGTTGATTTTGACGTGTAATCGCTCCTCGATCGTTATGCAATTGAGAGAATACGTCAAGTTTAAATAAATGGTACAAGTTCACCACTGACTGGGAAATGTGGATATATGTATTCACGTCTGGTACATATGCACAGTTCATGCGTGTGTATAGTTCATGTAAGGTGTAACCTACTTTTGATAAAAATTCATGTTCTTCGTATTTGCAACAGTGTTTAGAGCTTGATATGAAAAATGAACCTGTGTTACTCTCCGACCGACTGGGAGGAATTGAATTAAACTAGGAGCACGCTGAACAAATTGGTAATTGTTGTCTGCTCTGACATTCACTAATTCTGCACACTTACTCATTCACCGGGTGCGTATGTATGCATGTGTACAGCGTAGGTATTTCAGAGAATTTTTGCACTATATTTATATAGTGCGCACTATTTTTCGTCTGTATTTATTGTGCAAGGAATGGGATTGATTTATCTTTCTGTTCACACCCATTAAGATAAACCTACTTTCTCTCTTCAGACCTGAGCTGTGCACAGGGATGCTTCGGGTAACGTTTTAAAAAAATCAGCTACAGTTTGTCAAAAAAGTTTGAAGTTTCTAATAAATAGTTTTTTGGAATTGGCCATAATTTCTGGCTGGCTCACTTACAATGATGATGTATTTGTGAACCATTCATCCAACACACGTACGTAGAGATTATTATGGTTGATCTGTTATTACTCTTCTTCACACTTTTACTATTTGCCACCACTGCTGACTTTGATTTTGATATGACGAGTGGCCTTAAAATGTCCTCATGACAGTTTCCGACTGCAGAAAAGTGTATGCACACAAATGCCACTTCTCGTGGAAATCATATGCAATCACAGCAACAACAATGGGCTATGACGAAGATGGTTTGTCATTATTCTGGCAAGTTTTCTCAAGTGGTTGGCTTCTTGTTGATTGGTTAGTGGTTAAAAAAATTAGAGTCAATCTTATCTCGGAGGTAATTATCATGAAATGAAATGAAAATGCGTGTGGTTTAGTTTCGTCGTTGTTGAAGGATAAAAAATGTGTGGCAAATTGCTAATTTCTGCAAAAGTGGTAAAAAAATCATAATATGTACTTACCCATTTCCTCCGATTGAAGAGTACAGTGCTCGTTGGGAAGTTTCAAGGATTTTCTTGGGAAATGGGAGCATGACCCGATCGGATGGAACTTCTGAAATGGAACGTCTCAGCTTCCGGCCCATGACTCCATTCTGAAGGTCTCCGCCATGACCGTTACTCAACGGGGAAGTTGTAGTCGTAGACTCCAGTCCATTGGTCCCCGGCGTTGTTGACGACGAGTTTGTGACCCTGGGTTCTGGCGTGGTTGTGTTAATCGTCATGTCAATGTTTGCATAATCGGCGTAATTATTGATAACCCCAACATCCGCTTTTCTCCCATTATTGCTACTACCACGGCCCACATCGATGGCCATAGTGGATGCTGATGGAGCTCTACCTTTGGCTTTCCCCTGTTCTAAAATTACTTCCAAATTCTCGTAAATGGTTTCACACTTTGGTGGCGGTGAAGTCGGGCTGGTTGGAGGGATGGCTGGAAGCCCATTGACATTCTGGGGAGGCGGTAACGGGCCAGAAGATGAGCTAGGTTTCGGAACGGAGTAAATATTCTGCTGTTGGTGTTGTTGCAATTTGAGCAAGTTTTGGTAGTTTTGATGTTGCTGTTGCTGCTGATGTCTCAAGAGAAATTGTGAGTTTGTGTTGCACACGAAGCTCTGAGCTCGGGAGTGTTTGACTTTTAGTGGGAGTGGAGTTATGGCTTGGTGGTTGTTGGATGCTGCTGACGAGTTGTTATTGGCAGGGGACAAGAGGAGGGTGGATTTCGATGTGGAAACGAGTAACCTCTTCTCTTGGAAACTTTGGCTGCGCGAGATTCCCAGGTCGCCCGAGGAGGGGGAAGAGGATGATGCGGGAGGCGACAAGAGCAGGGGTTTACTGTTTGGGCGGAATGATCTCGAATTATAACCCGGGTTGTTTCTCTTACCCTCCGGAGAAAGGCAGTGGTGGTCGCTGTCGAGTTCTTTCAACGCGATAAAGTTGATGGCTTCCTTCGACTCCTTGGAGTTATGGGAGGGGCGCAAGGATCGGAGAAATTTGGAAGCTCCGCTCGCCCTCCGTTCCACCTTTGTCGTCTTTTCTGGCGGAGGTGGAAATTGCAGCGGGGTTGAAAGGTCGGTGGCGGAAGAAGCTCGGAGATTTTGAATGGGGGTGCTATTCGACGACAGTCGAGAGTCTCGTCCAGACGACGAAGGCGACAAAATATCTGGAGTTCCGTCAACTGTTGGTTTGGTTGGGGTGGTCCCGTTGCTGGAAGAGGGTGGCGAATCCCCTCCACTTGGTTCCCCCCTGAAATTCAGTACAAAAACGAACATTTTAATAACCCATTTGCAACGCGCATAAGTTGTGATGCAGAGATCAGATCGTAGTATCGATACAAAAAATACTCTTTTTTTCTTGTAACAGCTCAATGGATTATAAATTTAAATGCAAATGTCCTCGTTGCTGGATGATGATCATGACTTTGTTTATCCAGTTTTTTATAACCACGGAGAGAACCATTTGCATAAATAAAAGATGAGAAGCTTTTAACCCCTGATGCATTTATATGCAATCGCCTGCTTTCCCGTGTGCATGTGATGGATGACTAATTGGCCAAGGTGCACTTCACTTTGCATCTCCACACACTTATCTGACATGCCTTAATGCTACGTAGGATAAGATTTAGTCCAAGACGGACTCCTGCTCCACCAATAAAATTTCCGTCTTGTTTTTCCATTGCTTCTGTCTGCTCTGCGCGTATGTAATTTTTCGGGAGCAGAAAACCATCTGCATATAAGCAAAGCAAACCAATAAAATTGATGTAATTGCACCTTTGAGATGAAACCAGGTTGTAAAGAATTATCACGCTCTTTGATATTATCTGCAGTCCACAAATCCTGCCTGCTACCTAACCAAGCAATATTTACAAGAAATTCATGTAATAAACGATCTCATCACACTCAGCCACCTTTCGCTTCACCAAAAAACGTCCACGTGAAAATTACAGAAAAAAAACATGTCTCAAATATTTGGCTTTCTCATAATCTCGACAATAATGCGTTTACTTTTTTTAGCTCCTTGTCTCATTGTCATTTAAATAAATCTCGACCAGATTACTTATTCCACTCTGACTCTGTGTGCTATTAGAGGAAGCAGAAAAAGTGGATGAGATTACGGCTGGAGAAAAGTTGTCCTCGTTTGAATTCATTAGTTTACTTTTCGTGTAATGAGAGAGATATTATTTGTTCCAGATTCCAGCCAATGGTACGAACGAATCGTTATCAATTTAATGAGATTTAATGCCATGTAGTCAAAGATTGTAGTATCTGATCCCGTCTCAGGGCAGAACGATCCATTAATCATGAAATATTTATAGTAAAATGATTTGTTACTGGAGTTGCAAGTAATAAATAAGTATCGCAACAGATTACGGAGAATCTTGAATCCAACGATTATTGCTACAAGGAGAAAAATGACGTGTCTCTGACCCAGTTCCGATATTAGAACGAGATCTTCTTGCTGACCCAACCCGACCGCCGCTCATTTCTTTATTGGATGTGAACGACGTCGACAAGTTCCACAAAGCGGTTGAAAAATCAGCAGATGTCAGCGGGCTTGTCCTTGTCAACATTTATTAGATTATGAACCCCGATATGTACGAGGACAGAAGAACTTTGAAGCAGCCTAATAAATTACGAAGCCTTTTTTGGTCATAATTACAACGGGACGAGACAAATTGAATAGTCATCCTTTGCCGAAAATTAAAAAAATAGTTGTACGTATATTTATACCAATCATGCAATTATACAAAGTTGGGTCATCCTCATCTTTCCCCAAATTGTGGGATGCCTTGTTGTTGGTGAATTGTTGTGGATGATGTCAACCAACCTCAATGTCATTCACTGCTAATAAGACGACGACCCATCTCGTCTCTCCAATTCCCTCTGTCAAGTTTAAATTGCGACTAATGGGGAGACCTAAACTGTGTCACGAAGGAGTAGGGAGACAATCACAATGTAAAATCAAAATCCCAAAAACGATCATCACAAAATCCAAAAAATTGGGTAACGGCTTTCTTGTCCCATGAAATTTTTGACATTCCCAAAGCCTGCTGTGTCTGCTTTGTCGTTACTTTTTTAAAAAACTGTTGTAACACAAAGATATGATAACAATGTAATATTTACCTACATTTTTTTCTGCTTGTTTACTTATTCTTCTTTCCCCCAGCGAGATGATCATGAGGATTATGTACATATTTATTTACAAGAGTTGAAACTACCTTGAGGATACCATGTTTCATTTGAGTTTTTGACTCCCAGGACTAATTTTGTGATTATGCAATTGACAGATGATGAGTTGTTTGATAAGATATAAATTAGAATGATGCCCTCGTCTCATTAGGTAATTTACTAGCCTGACCAACCAGCCAGTCATCTTTTTATTGTTGTGATCATTATTATTATTCTACTTATGCCAACACAACAAGATTTGTCTGTACGCGTTCAGTTTTTGAACATGAGAAATTGGACAGAGTGAAAAAGAAACAAAGGAAAATTCAACAAGTTTATTAAATATTTATTTCGACAAGCAGCAGATGGTGGACATCCGTGCCAAAGTTTGTCTAAAAGTTTTACGATATTTCCACAATATTTTTGGGATGATGGACCTTCTCGTGGTCGTAATAATAACACTACTTTATTACAACAACTTTTAAAACATTACGTCACAATTCTGATATCTCTGCCTGAATCTGCGTTTAGGCAAAGGCAGTGATGATGGTGGTGACATGACATGGCACAATTTTGTAAAATATGATACTTTAAAATTTACCCTCGAAAAAAAAACGACTATATGAAAATTTACTTGTCCCGTTATTACCTTTCACTTGGAGGTTATTAGGTAATGAAATGTAACGTGGGGAGAGATAAGTGTGTGCAGTTAGCATCTTATCCTTCCCGATATCAAGGCGAGATAAGGCTGTGGGGGTGAATGTGATGAAAACTTTGGCATTTAACTTTGAAGCAGACAAAAAACTGTGATGGGAACATTTTACAATTTTCATCGCAATTTCTATGCACACATAATTCTGGGGCCTGGGTCTCTCTTGCATTCAGCCAAATTTAATTTACGACGTATTAAGATGCACTATTGCGTTTGCCTCCAAGTTGGGAAGATCGTGAGTTGGCTTTATTGCATTTGATTTAGATTACATTCTTTTCGATTCAATGCAAATTAGTCAAACTCAAGTGGAGACCAGATTGATTACGCAATAGGACTTGATTTTATTGAGCATCCACAACCAGTATGTAGGCTTGGTTCACGAGTAGTATTAAGGAAAAGTATGCATGCTGGATGGAATAATAAGGAATGCGATTATGGAAAGATGGATAAGAGACAGGTGACAAAGTAGAGTCAGTAAGGAATAAGTAAGGAGCTACGTACGTACAAGCAATCATCCACCGTCCACACAATTACTTATCTAAATCCTTGTCTCATTGAGAGCGCAACGTGACAAAATCTGATTCAATTTCATTCAATTGTGTTTCAGAGACATAATTGAGCAAATTATTACACCTTAACCTCACTCCATTCAATCGAAAGGTGAGTCGCGACCGTGACGACACGACTTGAACTACCACTTCCATTTACTAAGCACATTTTTAAATATTGTTATACAAGTCGAACTGGGAGTCTGGCTGGGTGGGTGAGACTATTACTTATTATAAGTCGTGGGCTCTGGTTTCCATTCACGGATCATGTACAGCTAATTGGTGGCAAGTTACTAAGGCATTTAGACAGTGAAGTGCAGCTTTGTTGATGCAATTATTACATGACGAAAGTAAAATCTGTCACGAAGTTGAGATACAGAAATTGGTGTGATGTTCTTTATGCACAAATCAATAATAGATCGAGTAAAATGACAATTCGGGAGTACTCGCTGTCTATTTGGGTAGAATACACTAGATTTTTTATGCATATATTTTGTAGCTTTGTGTGCAGCGCAATATTACACAAAAAGTGTAACAATGGAGACAGTGACAAATTTTGACACGATGAGTACACAATGGTTCCACCAGAGAGTTTACAAAGTGTCAACGTGGGTTAGCAGCTAGCTCGCTCGACTCGTAAATTGACAACATCGGGTGTCAATTCTCATTCATCCTCGTCAATGTTGACATCTGAAACATTGACACAGTGAACCAGACCAAAGGTTGTTGTCGTGAGTTTGACCCATTTCATCCCAACACTAAAGAAGGACAATGATATAAAATTAAACCCCGTTGTTTGCTAAAACAGCACGAACCCACGTTTACTTTGCCTAATACACCCAGTCGGCTGGGGCATATGCATCTACATATTCCGCAATAAAATAAAACATGATTTTTGTAAAACACATAGTTGCTCTCATCTCATTTTTGCATAGTTAGTTAGTTAGTTTGCATAGGTTTTGCATTTTTGCATGGGACGTGTACACGTAATAATAATAACAAATAACACCCAAAAAGTTGGTCTAGCTGTACAGCGTGTAACTAAACCTTCATTAAAAATGCATTAAAATAAATTAAATTAGGCTATGCAACTATCCACCACGACCACACTGGGACTTCTTATATGGGCCGACTCAAATTTGTACTTGGGCAATATTTGTTTCCAAAAGTTTGGGACAAACCAAAAACCCAGCCAAAATTACTACCTTTTAGATAGTGGAGTGGAGCATCAGCATATAGATTTTATTATGCATGCATGTAGTAAAATGACGGCTTGATTACCCCACATTTCCGCACATCTTCTTCTCCTCTAATAAATTCACTCTTTATGGAGCCATGCACTGACATATGGCACACTTTTGAATCCGGCAGTTTCTTACATGACATGCTACTACCAAGAACCATTTCTTTTTATTCCTCATCACTTGATAAGCAAGTAATGATCTGTTTCTCTTTTCTTTCTGTTCGTTGCATAATAATGATTTTTGACAGTTTGAGAACTAAGCTGCACAGAATAAACGACTGAACAAGGAATATCTCGACGATGCGATGTAAAAATCCGCTCGACTCTTTTGCATCTCTCAAGCCGCCTTGTCTCACTCACTCTCTTTTCTCTCTTCTCGCTCAAAGACGACGACGACGACGACGAAGAAGAAAGAGAAACTGAGAATACTTTTAGTATCTGAAATAAAATCAGAGATCAAATGTCCGCCTACCACCATTAAATTCGTCCAAGTCCACCACACCAAACGAAACCAAAATAAATCCGGGTTTGCTTTACAATGCGTCTTTGTCTGCTCAGTCAGTATCATGCAACGA